ATTTGGTTGACAGTTTATAACGTTCTTATCATAGGTTGTCGGGCAACCAGCCATACTATCTCAAATCGTGTAGACAACACAGATATAGATAATAATATCTGCGATAGACAACGAACATTTTTTTATTCTCACAGAATAAACCAAAGTAAACCTAGTAAACTAAAAAGTAAAAATATACTTTTGGAATAAACTAATAATAGTAAACAACAAACATCATTGTTGATTGTTATTGTTATTGTATAAATATTTATTGTTACTTGATAGTTGATGCCCAATGCTCAAAATTTAATTCAATATTCTATGTAAAGTCTGTTGTAAAAGTATGGGTAAAACACAATACACCCAAAAATTCAGGGAAGAATGGCTCACTGATCCATTATTTAAAGATTGGTTGATGAAGATCGAACTAGATCAAAATAAAGCTAGATGTAGGTTTTGCAAAACTGAGGTAGTCGCTAAACGGTATGATCTAGTTCAACACACAAAAACCAAAAAACATATAGAGGCTTCAAAAGCATTTGCAACCTCAAGATCCATAGCAAATTATGCAAAACCTACTTCATCAAAAACAAGTGACGCAGAAGGTACGTTAGCATTGTTTATAGCAGTTCATTGTTCCATTCTTACATGTAATCACTTAGGAATTTTGTGTGAATCTAAATTTATTGATTCTGAAGCTGCTAAGAATATTAAACTACATAGAACAAAGTGTACTAACATAATAATAAACATTTTGTCTCCACATTTTGAAACAAGTCTGCGTACAAGCATAGGTAATCAGCCATATAGCATTYTAGTAGATGAGTCGACCGATATAAGTGTTACAAAATATTTAGGAATTACCATAATGTATTTCAATAAGGACTTAGGACAACTAACTTCTACATATCTGGCTTTAATTGAAATGGAGTCTTGTGATGCTGAAGCTATCACAACTGGTATAAAAACAACTTTAAAAAACAAAGGATTGGATCTGTAATGGTTGGAATTAACTCCGGAGTCTATAAAAAATTAAAAGAAGACATACCAACTTTAATTCATCAACCTTGTATATGTCATTCTCTACAATTAGCTATATCAGCTGCAGCTAGCGAAMCCTTACCAAGAAATATTGAATACATGATTYGTGAAACTTATAACTGGTTTTCCCACTCAACTCTCAGACAAGCTCAATATCAAAATTTGTTTAGAGCCATAAACGATGGTCATGAACCATTGAATATTGTTAAAGCTTGTGATACTCGCTGGCTATCTATTGAGACAGCAGTTAGTAGAATTTTAAATCAATGGTTGGAGTTAAAAACACTTTTTGGAATCGCAAAACTGAAAGAAAAATGTTATGCTGCAGATATTCTACACAATATGTTTGTTGATGATAGAAATCTTGCATATTTGACATTTTTACACCCAGTACTTGAAGAGGTTCAAAAGGTCAATAAATCATTTGAATCAAATATAGCTKATCCGTCTAAATTATTAAACGATTTGATTAACCTAATTAACTCAATAGCCAAAAGGTTCGTTGTACCTGACTGCAGGCAAAATGCATTAACTTGTAATATGGACAGCTATGTAGCTCCAAATGTTTACTTTGGTTTTGAATTCAACCAAATATTAAGTAAGCTACCCCTAGATGATCAAGTAATTTTAAAGCAACGTTGTGTACAATTCTTAAAAGTCCTTCTAAAGCAACTTCAACAAWGGTTGCCTAAAAATGTAGACATTTTGGAAAAAATTTCTTTAATATCTCCAAAGTCAGCTTTAAGTGTTATTAAAGAACCATTAACATCTTTAGCTAAAAATTTTCTATTTGAAGCAAAAATAATAGATAAAATTAATATTCAATGGAACAATCTCACTAATATCCATTGGATTCAAACAGATAAGACTATTTCTTTTTGGAATGAAGTATGTGACTATAAAGATGCCAGTGGTTCGAATCCATTTGAAGAACTTTGCAATTTAGCAATGCGTTTACTAGTTTTGCCATGGTCTAATGCGGATGTTGAACGTTTATTTAGTCAAATGAATATCGTGAAGACCAAATTGAGGAATAGAATGGGTTCTAAACTGTTGGATTCCATTTTAACTATAAAAAGTGGATTAAGGAGGCAAAATATGTGTTGTGAAAACTATTCTTTACCTAAAGATGTGTTAAAACAAATTGCAATGCCCAGTTCCTCTAAAAATACAAGTGGAAATCTGACACAAGAAGAAGAACACTTGCTCATGGACTCTCACTTAGATTTATAGATCTTGTAACGAGCTGTGACTTTATCTATATTTACTTATGAGTCCCTGGTAGTAATATCATAATAATAATGCTGAAGAGCAGCGGCGTAGTGCTAATAATAGTAATAATA